TGGATGAGTTTGAACGGATAATTTGTTATGACAAATTAATTTTTTTTTAAATAGTTGATTTTGATCAGGTTTGATTCAAATTTTTCCACTCATCAATACTTAAATCCTATTGTCCAAGCAAAATAAAGGCTAAAATAATTATCATTAATGCCTAAAAACTAAGTTTATTTTGACTTATCTTTAATATATAATTTTTTTTAATTAAAAGTGTTATTTGTAACTTTTTTTTGTATCATGTACATAAAAAATTATTATAATATTTAAATTATTTAAAATTTAAATAATTTTATTCATTTTAAATATAAATAAATTAAATAATATTTAAATGACTAAATATGTAAAAAATATATATAAAAATTATAAAATTTAAAAAATAATAAATTGGATAAAATTTTTATTTGAAACACTTAAATAATTTAAAGTTTAATAGCTTACTATTAATCTTAGTAAATCATTCCATAAAATAGATACTCAATCAATCTGCCAAACCTGTAAGTCATTTAATCATATCCTAATCTAAATAATACTATCAGTATCCATAAGTTATATGGGTTTGGTTATATGGTACAAAATCCATCGTACCCTACAGTTACCCCCAAGCCAAAATATAAAAATTATCTCTTGAAAGAAAAAAAAAAAAAAAAAAAAAAAAAAGTGTGATAATAGTTGTTGATTAAAAAACTAACTATAAATATTATAATTAATTTTAGATTTTATTATATATATTTGATTTTATCAGATTATCAATCGTAAATTTTTAATCAAAATTAATAGGATTGTTTATCTTAAATTCCTTCACATTAGAGGAGATAAATCTCTTCCTATGCTCATTATCTTCCATATTGACTCTTCATCCGGGGTATGGAAAAATATTAATTGCACACAAATCCATCCTAACCTTCTTCTATCAAGTAATAGTAATATGTAATAATTCACTTATAGAGAAAATATTTATTTTTGAATTCTTTGTTTCACATAAAAAAACACATCGACATTTTAGTCCTCTAATTTTAAGATTTTGTGATATTATACAACAAGTTCTTCCATAAACATATGAACATGGGAGAAACTTTCCTTTTACAATGGAGATTAGAATCTCTCACATTTCTTGACGAACTTTCCATATTTGACCTCCTCTATTTTGCCCTGGAATTTCATGAAACATTTCCCAAGGCATACTAGAATCCGAGAAGATAAATGCAAGCATCTTATTTGTAACGACCCAGCTGGTCACTACACACGGTACAACACACTGGAAACACCAGACAGATAGAACAGGTATATAAATATAGGATCTAGAATATATAGATATACAAAGTCCCAATCTGACCAGAGTTAGAGTGTACAAAAAGAATACATCATCAACTGCTACACCAAGTAGCTAAACAACAAAAGAAAGCAAAACAACCCAAAAGGGTCAGCTCCAAATGGCAGCTACAGCCCAACTACCAGCCACCGACCTATCCCTGCTCTGCTCCCATACATAGTATGATCATCGCAGTCCAAACATCATGGAGACAACAAAGGGTAAGCTAGTGTAAAGAATTCAACATACATATAAAAATATATGAATAGAAACATCTACAGCTATCAACACACCCGCACAAATTATACTACACCACAGTAACTCAGTAATATCAGCACCGCTCAGCGGCTATAATAGCACCACCATAGTGGTTAACAGCACCGACATAGCGGCTATAACAGCACCACAATAGTGGCTAACAGCACCGACAAGTGGCTATAACAGCACACAACTCAGCAAAATAAACAGCACAGCAAAACATTTCTCAGCACAGCACAACATATCAGCATACAGCTCGATTAAGTAACATTCAACACAGCTTACTACACACACCTCAGCTCATCATTCTAGAGCACAGCAGAATTATAAAATACAGCAATTAATTTCATCAATTACAGCCAGCTCAGCACAGCATTAACCTCTATTCAACACAACATAATTATCAATTTCAGCAGAGTTTAACGAATAAAAGCATATTAATACCACATTTTTCTACGCGCTCGGCGCACCCAAGGTTGCGCCCAGTGCAGCTCAACCCGAGAGCATCAAGGGGCCAACACGCCCAGCGCTAGACTGCTCGCGCCCAGCGGGGCCCCTCACGCGCCTGGCACAATTGAGAATTGCGCCCAGTGCTTGCCAGGCAGAGACTCCATGGAGCCCCACGCGCCCAGCGTGCCTGAACCCACGCCCAGCGCGGGGAAGGCAGAGACCTCCCTTAGGTCTCATGCTCAGCGCAATTTGAATTGCGCCCAGCGCCCTCCAGGAGGAGCCTCCCAAGGAGTCTCGCGCTCAGCGCGACTAGGGTCGCGCTCAGCGCTGAACCACCACTCAAATATTGTCTGCGCGCTTAGCGCGATCCTTTCCCCGCCCGGCGTGGACCAACCAGAGGCTCACCTTCTCAAGCTCCCCCGGCGCACACATCTTTGCGTCCATCGGGCTTGTCAAAAAGGAGCCCCCAGGTGGTCTCGCGCCCGGCGCGAAGAACCGCGCTCAGCGCGAGACTCGCCAGCAACCTATCCAAGTTCAAAAACTTCACAAATCCTGCAAAATAACCAGAAAATCCAACATGCAATCCGGTCAACAGTTCACATTTTCATCATAGATCAATAAAAATCAATCATTTACCACATGCAACCACAGAACAAGAATTTCCCAAAATTTTCTCAAAAGCCCCAAAAACCGAAACCCTCAATCTCATCATTTTCAACCAAAAATCATCAAACAGCAACAACCAAAGAGTTCCTAGAACTCATTTTCATCCGGAAACGGCAAAAGAACCTAGCTTCCCTTACCTCGGTGAAGAATCCGAGCTTCCGGGAAGAGAAAATGGAGAAGAAAGAGCTCGAAAGAGGTGGAGAACGGAGAAGAGATTTCCGGCTTTCCTGCTAGCTTTCAATCACGAGAATCAGCACCTACACACCCAAGAATCCAGGGGATTGGGACCAAGGCAAACAAGAGAGTGAAATGTGCAAGTGAGAGTTTTGAGAAAAAGTGAGTAGGAAAGGGTGAGGGTGAAATGGGAAAAAGGTTAGGGTCTCACATTATTTACTAGTGATCTTACATTGATAAGGCCAAAGACCATAAAGTTCAAAGAAGTAAAGAGAAATTCCCAAAAAAACAACTCTCCATTGTATTGATTATTGTGAGATGATTGACGAAGTGACCCAAGACAAAGACACTTGCGTAGTTGCATTGTTATCTGACGAATTTTTTTATTTTTTATTTATTGAATTCCGTTATAAAATAGTTCATATTTTTGTAACATTAACCACAGGTAGCCTAGAAATTGTTAATTTGAAATTTATTCTTTAAGCAATACACTTTTTGCGTATTTTATTGGACAAATGTATTATACTTCTTCTTTATGATGCTACTTACCTACTTCTATGATATAGCCACGTCATACTGCGTAGAATTTCAAACAAACATGAAAATAATGCCAAGTCATAGAACTCCAAGAAAGTTATAAATAAAATGAAAATAAAACACCCCGATTTGCAACTCAACTGCTACGTTCTTATTTTTCTGGTTTTCTTTAATTTATTGATTATTGAAAGGGACATGCATGACATGAGAGAAATTTTAATATGCTTTCAGTTTATATTTTTCTTAATACTAAATGCTACAATTTTTTTTATATGTGAAATCGCTTAAAAGGGGAAAATTAAAATAAAAGAAGTTTATAGTATTTCTAACGTTTTATTTTTTTTTATCGTAATAATTAATTATTGACATTCCTTAATTACTTTCAAATAAGTACCAGCAATTTTTATTATTTTTCTTTATGGAAGTACGTCCACTTCTTTATAATCCTCTTATGTTAGCTAGTTTTGTATAAGCAGTTTACATTATTGAAAACAAACTGTATGTTTATGAAATGCAAAATATTTATAAGGTGTATGATTGTAATAAAATCACATAAATCTCTTTATTTTATCCGTGTATTTATTTTTTCATCCGGAGATAATAAATGTTAAGCATCAATCAATCCGAAGCATCAATATCTCAAAATTTATTTCGTACATATACGGACTAAGTACATATTTAGTACACATTGGGTACTCCTAAATACATATATCATATACGTATCCAAAATATATTTTAAAAAAATTAAGTACACATGAATTTTTTTTTGGATAAATATCGTACTCTAATAAATAAAAACTCATTCAATTAATACAAAATAAAATTTTCATTAATCTTATTTACTTCCAAAACTCAATTCTTACTTATAAGTAATACCACACAACTCATCATCGATCAAAGATTTAATTCTTATACTTATAAATCACTTTCTCTAAAAAAAAAGAAAAGTAAAAGTGAGAACAAAATATGGGACATTAGTATAAATGAATGAGAATCATTTAAATGAATCGATATTTTTATTGTTGTTATTCTTTCTTTTATGAATCAAAGTTAAATTGTGATCAAAATATTGTTGTTATTACAATTAAAGTGTAATATTATAATTACGTTTAAGGGTTATAAATTTTATTGTTAGACATTTACATATATTTTATCATAATGAAAATTTTAATCTCTTTTATATTACAAATTATGTTTATCTAGAGATTTTTTTTATACAATTTACTATGTTTATATATATATATATATATATATATAAATTATATCAACGTATCCATATCCTTGATTTTTAAAAAAATTGTGAATCTCGTACCTATACACATAGCGATACCTTACCCGTATTCCAAAAACATGTTTTGTTTTAAAAAAACAAATAGCAGCTAAATTAAATAACAAAGACCTATCAAGTTATGTTGAGTTGTTTTTACCGACAGAACTCTACATATAATACAATTCCCAGGCTATCAATATTAATATTCCAATTTATAATTACATGACCAAATCTCCAACCCTTTATCCTATATGACTAAATGTATCCCTTGTTTCATTTCTTTCTCCTATCTTATGGCATAGAAGATGTTTGTGGTGAATAAATATATATACCCTAAAATGAATGTAAATAAGGAAACCTTGTGAGAAAAAGAATGTACAAGAGACTGCTTTGTTGATCCCTGTTAACATCTTAGGCCTCACAATTCACTCTTATGTTGATTTCTAGTTCTACTCAGCAGCCATATCTTTCACCTACACAATAATGCCAGCCTAACAATTTTATGTCACATTAGTGAAAAATTAAGTTCCAAAAGATCCACCCCTTTCCTTTTTGCACCCACCAATCCCATATATGTTCTAATCACCTCTTGGAAAAGAATCCTGACGAGTCAGTGCATAGTTTCCACTTGCCGGGAGTGAATTTTCAGCATCAACAATATTTGCTTTTGAGCAAAGGAAGAGGAAAGAAGATGTATATATTGTAACATGCCAAAAGCTGTAACAATTTTAAAAGAGCAAAACATGAGACTAGAGAAGACAGAGAAAAAGAAAGAGATAGTGGAGAGAGTAGTATTAGTATTGTAATACCTATGCCAAAACCAATAGTTTGCACTGGTTTCAAATGTCCAGCTCATTCCTGCCATGGCCAATGTAATGAAACCAACCAACAGAAAACCCCAGCGAAACCGTCTCAAAAGTGTCTTGACCAGATTACAAAACCATTGCTTTATAGTTTGCAAGCTGCAGTGGAAATTTATCTTTAAGCACATCTACGTTTAAATTAAAAATATAAAATTGTGATCAATGATCATGTTATGAGTACAGTATTGACAATGACCAGCTTGAAGGTACCAAGAAGGGTTGGTTAACATATAAGATTCAAGGTATTTGTGGAAGGAACTGTGTGTGGTTCATCTTGAATTCCCACCACCACCTTTGTTGCTTGAATGAACAAAACAAAAAGCTATTTGAAGGTTGAATTATCTGGTTTTTAAGCTTTTCAGCTTCAGTGGCTATGACAAAAAGCCATACTCCAGACAAAATCAGTGACTACATGCAGGAGCCGGACCATGAATTGAATGAACGAGAAAACAGTAGTATCGTTAAATTGGAAATTTACAAAAGGGTTTTCCTGTGAGATTTGATCCAATGATGATATCATGACAGATGTTATACTATCAGTTCAAAATGAAAATTAGCAGAAAATATGCCCTACAGTGCAGATAAGATACATTATCAATCAAACCACTGGTTAATATTCCTAAGTTGGAAATATCTCGACTTGGAGCACCTAAGTCACAAATCAAGATTATATATTTTTATTGCCGGGAACAGTATCCCTCGATGTTTATGAACCCTTTCAACTTATGTGAGAGAATTGGGGAACACGTGCTAAACAGTACCATACATGCCACCAGGTCATGATTCTATCAGCCATATTTGTTGCCATCACTGGGGGAAGCCCAAATTGGAAACCAATGAATGCACACAATATACTTCAAAAATATATTATTGTACACAAATTTACCATCAATTACTATTATTTTGTCCGGAAAATGCAGTGTTCAAAAAAATTTACAAAGCACATAGATCTCACCTTTGAAGGAAACTCAGCGATAATTCAAATGAAAAGGAGAGGGACCTATACTTTTTTGAGATTTCTATCAACCATGCAATTAGAAGACCAGCAGCTCCAATCACAATGACAAGAACAATATTGGAAGATCTGCACAATTTGGTGTAGATACATGTAAACAAAACTTAAACACCTTTAGCAGTATATATACAAAGTTGTTTGTCCACTAGTTCAATTTACCTAGTTGCCTTAGTTGAAGCCAAGAGGGCAGTAAGGATGGCAACAGCTGTGTGGATTGCCCTCTTATAAACTTCGTCAATGGTAGATAGATATACAAAAGTGCTAACCACAGCCATGAAAGAGAGCCAGAAGTCCATGAACTGAAATGTTGAAATATTAAGTCACTATATTGAAGTATAGCTATTGTTGAGTTGTAATTTAGATCCCAACATCTTTAATGAAGTGATTTTTAGCTTCTAATCTGAGTGTTTATGCATGCTACTATGGTTGACACCCAAAGAAATAGAATACTATTTGGAACTCAGGTTACAGAAGGTTGTTGAGGCTAGTCAAGCTGTGCAAGTGAGATAACATCTTTCTGTATCATATCTCAGATTCTCAGTAACATTGTTAGTTCCCCAACCTTTTTATTTTTTATTTTTTCAATTTTAAGATACAGTGTGAGAAACCACTAAAGGAAGAGCAGTAACCTGTAAAACATTAAAGTTCAATATACACCAGGTGCCAACGTCACATGCATGATATATCCCACTAGCAATTCCACTAGACGTGAATAAAATCCATTCTGCATATGCCTGCAAAAAGGAAATTACCGGTTCCATTGTCAACACAATCTATTTAACAAGTCAATTTATTTTGTTAGAAATTTTGATGTAATACTCTCAAATCAATAATATAAGTACTTTTGGGGAATCCAAATCATTAGTCTCCTTATTGTGTTAACTTAAAAATTATTTGTCCTTAACATTTAAGTTAATATATCATTCTAAATTCCATCAATTTCCATATGCTGGTAGATAAATCATCCAACCAAGTAATTGGGAGAAAAAATAGATAAAAAAAAAAGGAAAGAAAGAACAAGAATTACCTTCTGCCGAAGAGACCAATAGGCAGGAAGAATGGCTGCAGCATTTGATCCAATGAGAAAAATTGATTGCAGTATATGCCCTACAACAAATTTTCAACAACCAAAATAAAGAACAAAAAAATCACATACGAAAAATAAATACAACAGCAAACCCATATCCATGTATTTGATGAATCGCAGGGAAAAACAGGAGAAAAGCATACTTGGTTTTTAACATTTTATAATTAGACTGAACCTGCCAAACTAAACTGGACTCAAACTATGTTTACCTATTTTATTCAGTTGATTGCCAACAAAAATACATACATTGATATATTGATATTGGTTGCAACAAATCACTATAAATAATATCATAAAATGGAAAAACCAAAATAACTATTGACCTGAATATATTTGTAAACTATTTAGTTTGGGTTCTCTGCTGAATGCTGACACTTAAACAGAACTATTTCTGACTAAAATAGTATCCAGGAAACAGGATACTGATGACTCAACAAAAAGAGAGGGGGATGAAGATATGTAAAAAGAGTTGAACCATGATACTTGTACCAGAAACAACAAATTATCAATTTCTAAATTAAACAATTACCTTTATGTGATACAATTTCAATGCTACAGTCAAAGCCACCATGGTTTCGATCACAAGAGCAGAAGCTGAGTCCAAAAAGTAAACATTAAAAATGGTAAATTTCTTTAGGAAGTTGTGCAACAAATACAAATCAAGAAATCTGGAATTCTGTCACTTAGTATCAGACTCTTTTACAAAAATGGTTCAGTCAATACCAATGATTCATATGGTTCTTGTCTCCTTAAAACAAACAAATGAAATGTAAACAGAACTGATAAATTAAGAACAAGCAAAGGGAATATCATAAACCTGTAAGATGTCAATCCACTGGCATCAAAAGAATATTTACAGTCTCCATGAGAGGAGCATTCTTTTGGGCATCCTTCAAGTGAAATAGACATGACAGTTTGCGCTTTCAAAGAATCACTGCTAGTATCAAGATGTCTTAGACCTAAACCCCAAGTTCCTTCTCTGGCATAAATAATGTAAAAATCAATTTTGTCATCACTTGAATCATATAGCATGAAAAACATGGATTGTTCACTCCTCCTTGTCCTGTTAGCATAATAATAGTCCCAGCTATCAAGAGAAGGCAATCCACCAAATTTAGCATAAACTTCATAATTGATCTTCACATTTGCAGACAGACGAATGTGAATATTCCGTCCAGCTGCACCACGAGGAATATCCAAAGTAAAGTAAGTCCAAATTTCATCAGTATCTCCTGCATTTGATGACTTGTTTAAAAGTGGCTCGAGAGGAAAATTTGCAGAAGATGCTCCTTCACCAGCAGACACAGGTAAATAATATGATTCAAAGGGGGTTGGACCTCTCCTTAGAACTGTCTGCAGACAACCATTTCTATCTTGTTAATAACTTCTTGTGAGTAAACATCTTTAAGGATCAAGACGTAGAACTTATTCTACCAGTGTCGTTAAACAAGATTTCTGGGAAATGCTTCAAAATTCCCATTGGATAGTATTTGGTGAAAAGCTCCAATATTTTAATTTTTATACAAGGAAACTTAATATGTTGAACAAGTTCTTCAATCCATATATTTTAGCATTGCACATAAAATAGTTCAGTCTTGTAGAACAAATTCAGTCTATTGCAGGAAAGAAGCCAGGATGTAGACTTCCCCAAGAGATAAGCACCACATGTATGCTAATGTCTGCAGTACAATGACTAGGCACATTCCTATTTCTGAAAATCATAAACATTTGAATGGATTCTATGCAGTACGATTTCAGATGTTATCATAATCTTTTTATTTGCCACCAGAAGGTTTATGTTTGTATATTTTATTTTCTTTCATTATTTTTAATTGTTACATCTAATTTTTTCTTAACCATCAAGATATGCTTGCATGTGATCGTATCCCCATTCTAAGTTATAACCCAAAGCACAAGTTTTGTTGTCTAATAAATATAGCACTTACATTAGAGTGAACCTTTGAACTAAAAAAAAATGCACCAGCACAAATAGAATAGAGATAGAGATGCATCAAGCAATCAATACTACCTGAAGTGTGTAGCTGTCCATTGTGCAATTTGGTCCAGCTTTCCCAAGTGGGCACTGAAGCACTTGTGATTCCATCGAATAGCAAACTTTTAAATTGTCATCCAGAGTCCCTCCAAACTTTTTTGTAACATTCACTGGTGATATACTAATGTACAAATTACCAATCTGTGGATAACGGATAATCAGAGGAGCTTTATTTAAATCACCAGAATAATCATGCAAAGTCTCTGAAGGAATAGCACCATGGCGAGCAAAACACATTAAATTAAAATCATTTGCTCCGGAAATGTTATTTGAAGCTGTAGTATTGAATCTAACATTTGCGGCCATAATGGTCAATTCTTCTACAACATTTGTTATCTCCAAGGAGTACAATTCTGGTACACCCTCTTGAACACAGAACGTTTCTATGTTACTTTTGCAGCTCATTACATTTTCCATCATTGGCTTCTTCACCGTCTCCTTCATAGTGTTGTAGACATCAGATGCTGTGCATGAAAGTGGATAGACTGTACTGTTACATAACTCTCCCCTCATCATTGAATTTGAGCATGCTTCCACACTTATATTGGCACTGAATGAGTATGCTGAGCCTCGAATAATCTGCAGAGGTAGATTAGTAATTGTGACTCATCCATGCATAGTTATTGCATCAAGAACTTTGCTGAGAGATAGAGCAAGTCAAATGGAAGTTAAGGAATTTTAGTTTTGAGATAGATTGCAAAAATAAAAGCGGAAATCAGTATGGACATGTTTCCAATCCGACATTTTGGATGGAGAATTTATTAGATACACCTACCGTACAGTACCATTTCTATCAAATATCAATAGCAATCCATACCCTTGGCTCTAGAAGAAAATGGGTTACTAAATATTGAAATACTGTATTACACTAGGTGTGCTGAACATTTCTCGTCTAAACTCTAAATGAGACTAGTTATAGCATATGATGAAAAATACTTGAAATCTCGGTCTTCATTGTGATAAAAGTAATGTTTGGGTAATAAACCATACCATTTTCGATTGTGTTCTTGTAGCTCCAATGCCATTGAAAAGACCAATGTACCAAGCACCTGGAGATATCTGAAGAATAATTCATATATTTATTTCTATATTATAAGAGGACAATAAGTAAATTCATTTCGAACTAATACTTTCCCATTATTAATGTAGTAATTTAAAACTAAGACAAGTATAACTATGTCATTATAGATCTCAAAGGAAAGGAGACATTGAACTTAAAGATACTATAAGCAAATAAAGATATTGCCAAAAGTAAAAAGGACTTATCACAATACCTGTTCGTTTGTCAATTTCATAGTGATGTTTTTCTCCATAGGAAAGCACTGCTCGACATCAAGACCATTTATTCCTAAGAAAAAAGGGGAATAAAAAATAATTATAGTGGCACAACTCATGACAGTTTTGAAAAGAAAAGAAAATTGTAGTCCTTTTTCTTTGTTGAGAGGGAGACAGAAAACGAGGAAGATGAAACAAGGGAAGAAGTACTGCCATGGTGCTTCAAAACAAGTGAAACACTAAAAATGAAGAAAACATTACATGTTCATGAGTTTAGTATTCATCCTTTACACTATGACCAAAAGAAAATATAGTAGGGTATGTAAAAGTACGGGCAAAAGAACTAAACATACACTAATTAAAAGAAGAATCTTCTGTAGAAACTATGATGCTTATTTAATGAGTGGCGGGAATTTACTGGGGCTCCAATGGTTCTATCATGTTGATGAATAAAAAAATTGAAACAAGTCTTTAAATATCTTAGAATGAAATTCAACATAGAATTTATGTGCTTAAATATCAAGTTTATAAAACAGTTTAATTTAACTATGGTTGAATATATTTAGGTGGGGTTTCTACCTGTGGCAGCCGAATCCTTCAAGGATGTGTTTAAAGCATCTGGAAGAGGAGGACTGCCATCTCTAAAGCATATTATTGGCAGTGAGCTTTTTGGAATCCTTTCAACTCTGGCAATATCCTAAAAACAACGTAATTATGAACCAATAAGGGGCAATAATTAGTCAACAAAGAGATGATACTATGAAATCAGGTTCCCTTGAAATTTTTCTGTAGCAAAACCAAGAATGAAACAATTTAAATAAATAAATAAATAAATAATAAGTAAATCATAAAAAAAAATAGTTTGATTGAATATATAGAAAGAATTATTGGATTACTTACAAGGTCTACATCTGAGTTCAATGCTATGGACACCGCAGAAAACCATGGAGGTATATCAACTGAAACAAGAAAAATCAAGATAAAAGTAAGATCATCCATAAGTTTGACAATAGTTTTTATTTTTATTGATAGAAGGAAAACGGCACCCATGTCCTGTAACCAATTGAATTGTCAAAACAGTAGAAAAGGATAAAAATATTTATCTTCTTCATTCAAATTGTTATTATCTCATCACTTTTTCCATCTGAAACAGCTTGTTAGTACCCATTCATGCAGGGATTCAGTGCATGATAGTTTGACATATATACAGCATTACAAGAAGTGTCAACGGTTTAAATCAATCAAAACATATGAAACGATGTACATTTGAATTTGAATAATCAAGCACCGGCAGGGAGAAAAAGAGTAATGAAATGAGACAGCATACAAAAACCACAAAATCTCGGACAACATAGTAGCAACCTCATCAAACAAAATTCAGTGAATCACAAATCATAAATTAAAGAACAAATGACAAGTTAACGACCCAACAATCATAAGATACCATCCTATTATACTTCAAGTCATGGTTCCTAGTGTTACAACACACAATTGTATCCACATAATAAGGCATGTCCACAGAGCAGTTTACCTAACTCTGCAACACAACACTCATAAGATCAACTTCATTAAATTGTTGCAAGTTCCCTCAGTATAGTTTAATTATGAACAATTGCATACATAATAAGAACAATTACCTTGAATTCCTTAAACCAATAACAATTTGAAGACCAGGGATAATTGACTCATTTTAATAAGTCAATCAACAAAGAAAAAAACCCAAAGAGAGAGAAGAAAATTTTCTACAATGCTAATTCACCTATACCCTTCAAAATTCAATTCCGACCCATTAAACAGCAAACTGTGAAATGCATCATGAACAACAAAAGCAGAAGAATTGAAGCAAATAAACAAAAGGGTCAGCAACCTCTGATGTAGCGCAAATCATAGGGTCTAATGGTGGTCTCAGGGTAGCTGAAGCTGGAAACAGTGAAGACATCATCAGTGGCTCCAAGTTCATCGTTTGCAGAGCAGAGACCAATAGAACAACAACAAAAAAGCAACGCACTGACAGGAATCAGGTTGAGATGACACCAAAGAATCGAATTCAAAGACATTTTTTTTTTCTTTTGTTTTCTTTTTGGTAAATTCAAGGTTGTTCCCAGACCATGAAGACGCAGGCGAGTGGACTATGAATTATGTATTAGTCAATCTAATTGAATTAAACCAAATAATGATAATAATTTAAAAAGAGGGGGTCAAAGCTAAATAAAATAATTCTTTTAAAAACAAACTAAAGAAATAATTTATCGATTATACATATAAAAAAACACAGCTGTTTTCTTATATTTTTTAATTTATAAAATATATAATTATATTAATTAAGACTAATTAAAAAGAGTCACTTTGTACCTTTGTACTATTTTGTTTAAAAAACAAAAATAATAGAGATTATACAACATGTGAATCAAGAAAAATAATATATAATAAACAAAAACAGAGATAAAAATTTAATTGCAAAATAAGTGGGTGGTTATTATTGATGTAAACAATTGATGTTTTGTATATTTTTTCTTTCTATTTTATTCTTTTGAGAAAAAGATAAATATATTAAACACAAACCCTTATACTAGTTGAAATGATTTTAATATATATAGGTAACTAGTATTTTAGTCTATGTATTGTGCAAGCTAAATGGTTTTAGTCTTTGGTTATTTGATGTTGTGTGAACCATGTTTATGAATAAAAAAAAATTCTACACTGATACTAATAATAATAATAAAAAAGATATCATATTTTGGTGTGCACAATTTTTGTTGTTGATAATTTTGTCATTATAATTTCTATATTATGTCTTATTTTATCCTTTATAATCATTCAAAATGTAATACTGTGAGTTTTAGATGTTTAATCTTATTATATGTGATGTATGATTTATTTGTTGATTGTTGTTAGTAGTATTGGCTTAGAACTCTGGAGTCAAGGGATTATGAGGGTTAAGTTGGTCTATGTGATAGTTGAACTATAGATAAGTTGAGTTAGCTCAAGAAAGGTATATAAGATTTTCTTAAGAAGAAAACCTCATAAGTTCAAGTTTTAGTAAGAATTCTATAGAGAAGTTAATGAGTCTCTCTATAACTCAAAATTTTCTTCCTTTTTTTCTTTCTTTTTTTGAAAAATCTTTCCCTTCTTCTTCTTTGTAGATGATCAGAATTGTTGAGTTGGTGCTTTGAAGCTTGCAGAACTAAGAACACCAAGTTAGAAGTTGTATGGAGCTTGTCTCTTGATTTTTCTCTTCCCTTCTTGTTGATTTGGTTCTCCAAGATGCAAGGAAAACATTGTGTTTGATTCTATTAGATTGCATGTTGATGACTTGTTTGATTACATTATTGATGGTTGTTTTGGATTAAAAATCTGAATGAGATGATGAATATGTGGTGTTAGGGTTCTTGGTTGTGTTTTGAAAGAGAAGTGATGGTCTATGATTTATAATCGTTACATGTTGTAAATGAGAGCTATTTTTGGTGCTTAGAGGTTGTATGTTGTGTTTGGCTAGTTGGATTACAGGTTTTGAGCCATTTGGGAATTTTGCTATGTGCAAAACGAGCATCATGCCGAGCACACCTTCATTACGTCAGACGTGGCTCAAGTTAAGGAGCTCTATACCCTAATCACGTCAAGCACAAGATTAGTAGCGTCGGATGTGGGTCAAAGAGAAGTTCTTTGACTTAGTCATGCTATACATTAAATGAATGGCGTTAGGTGTGAGATCTTGAGAATCCTCTAACTTGGTGATACTGAGCCTAGAGGTGTGACTCTAAGCGTGACCAAGTTAGTGGGTCTTTGCCTAAGTGATGTCGGGCCTAGGTTGAGTGGCGTCAGATGTGAGTTAGGTGGAAACTCTCTACCTAAGTGTGGCTGGACATGGATTTTTCCATGCCAAGTGTGAGAGGCTTGGAGCCTTTCTACCTCATCCATGTCGAGCGTAGTTGGATTGAAATTGGGTGTGGATGAGATATAAAGCCCCCTACCTTGATAACGTCAAGTGCATGGAGAGTGGTGATAGGTATGATATGTTGAAATGAAAAATGATGTTCTAAGTTGTCTGATTGTTGAAGTATGATGAATTATTTATATGAATGATGATATATGATGATTTTTAAAGTTGTTTATGGTGTGTATTTTTGAAGTTGTAAGATGTATCATGTTTTAAGTTGTATGTTGATAGATCATTATATTGTAAAGTTATATGTTGCTATAGTTGATTAAGTTGTTAGGAACATGGTGAAGATATATGTCTTTGCTAAGATACATGAAAATTAGAAGAAAGTAAAATATATTTTAAAAATTAAATATCTCATTGTGTGTATATACATTGTGGAGCTCCGAGAGTCCAATAAACTATCCTACCCTAATAGAGTAATAGACTTTCTAATTTAAGTGGTGAAACTTGAAAAATCAAATTAAGTTATTAAATAGGATCTCTATGAGACCTAAAGTTGTTTATACTAGATTTAATTATGATAGGTCAAACGTTGTGGTTCGATAGGGTCTAGCCGCTTAAACTGGTCATCTTTATTTTAGGAGATATTCATAGTTGATATGCATGACAACACATTAGTTATCCATTGTTGTTTATGTTGATAATGTTGTTATGCTAAAGTTGTTAAGAGGTATTGCGGTGTAGGTTGTATGTGTTGCAGTGATTAATAAGTTGAAGTTGTTTGTTAAGTTGAATTTTGCTATTTGGTTGGTTCAAGTTGTTACTCAATGTTGTATTGTAGATCGATTCTTTTCACAAATTTATCTTATGTTTTTCTTGTAGTTGGAACTGTAATGATCATACTTTGTATGAGAGTATAGTAGGATTAGCATATTAACTTGTCTAGCTATGGAGGGTCATGCTGGAGACAACCAATTTTCTTTTTTATGGTATTTCTCTGATGCAATTCAGGTCTTATATAGGTGCTTAACCGATAAGTAGCATTTTTCTTATGTACAATGACGTCTTATGTAGATCGTATATATGTACATGAGTTGTTTTAGTTTTCTATTCCTTACATATATCAATGTGCATGAGATCCATTATCTATTGCATGATAGCTTTAGTCTAGTTGTATATCATGTTATTGTCTTTGTTGCATAGTAACTTAACTATAATAAGTGTAAGATTTGTTAAGTCGTTACAAAAAAAAAATCACACAAATCATCTAATTTATTAACAACAAACTATTATTGAATCCTAATTGTTTTTATTTTATTTTAAGATACACACAAGTACGAAATATCTTTTTCATATTAATTATATATAAATAAAATTTATATTAAATATATATATATTATATTTTAATATAAAGTTACATTAATTTAAAAATTATATGAATAAATAGTTTTGAACATATAAAATTATATTCTAAATTTATGATAAATAATTTATAGTATATTGTAAAATCATTTTTAATTATTGATAAATTATTTAAAATATTAAAATCTAATTTAAAAATAAATATGATAAATATAAATTGAAATAGATAAGATGTTGATAGAAGTTTTAAAAGTCTTATTAGATAAAAAAAACCTAAAAATATTTCTATTAAAAAAAGTTTCTAAAAATATTTTTACACGATATAAAAGTTCGTGTATAAGAATGAATTCTTATTTTCCTATTAAGGTGATTACAATATTTTAAAATATATAAATAATGCATTTAATATATTATTATGTATAGTAAGTAAAATAATAAGATTATTACTATTACTTTGAGAATAGATATAATTATAACAAATATTTTCTTTATTTAAATACAAATGAGAATAAAAGACACCGCCCTACTTCTATTAAAAAAGAGTGAAAATAATAGAGGGATTTAAATAGCAAATGTATAAGGGTAAAATTAATAGATCCCAATATATTAAGTACAAATATATTAATTACATGATAATGTTTTTAGAGACTTTTTTTTAGGATTTCTAGTGATTCTTTCATCTTTTTATCAATTTGATTTTTATTTATTATAATAATTTATAAATTAAACTTTAATATTTTTAAAATAAATCATCAACATCAATATTTATATATTAAATATAAATATTTATAAACATTTTTATGAGATTTTATTCAATGAGAGAAAATTTAAGGATTTTTTAACTTTTGTCTACTTTAATTTTTATTAATCATAATTATTTATTATTTAAATTTTAATACATTTAAATTAGTTATCAATAAATAAATATAATATTATGTTACAATATAAATTATTGATCATAAATCTAAAATATAATTTATTTTAAAAATTATCTATTTACACAAAATTTAAATATAATTTATATATTCAAATATAATATTTATTTATATATATAATTTATGAGGATGGTTCAAACGACATCGGTGTAACTTTTACTAAGTGTTACACCGCTCAATAACTTTATATTAAATGTGAATTTTGAAAATTCAACCGTTAGATTGAAAGTTCATATATCTTAGATCATATATGTCAAATTTTGTTAAAATTGAACAACAATTTGAAGGTAATCAAAGTGTTCATATTTTAGTATATTTTGAAATGTATATATTACGTCAATTTTGTTTTATGAGAATGAAGTATCAAATCATCTTAGATTAATACAAAATTTGACATATATGATCTAAGAGATATGAACTTTCAATCTAACGGTTGAATTTTTAAAATTCATATTTAATATAAAGTTATTGAGCGGTGTAACACTTAGTAAAAGTTACACCGGTGTCGTTTGAACTCTCCTCATAATTTATTATAAATTTTAGTTACATATAATAAATATTTTGCCTATGTATTGCATGAGCTAAAATGTTAATCATTATATTTAAACAAGAGTCTCTACCTTGCATGAGAATATTTTTAAGAGTCTTTTTTACAAGAGAGTTTGTAGAGATATTTAATTTTTTTTATCTAATTCAATTTTTATTAATTATAATTATTTATGTATTAAATTTTAATAATTTAAAATAAATTATAAATAAATTTTATTACAATACAAATTATTTATCATAAATCTAAAATATAATTTATACGTTCAAAAATTAAAAAAAAAATTATGTACATTAATTTTAAATATAATTTAAAAATTTAAACATAATATTCTAATACAAATGTTAATTATATATAACAAATATGTTTGTGCATCACATAAACTAAAATACTTAAATCTTTATATATTAA